TGTTTGTGAACAAAATCAAAGTGAAGTGAAACAACCAACAATTGATTATATCAAACAATTAGATAGTAAATATATTATCTTATTAAAAACAAAAAAAAAAGATTTTTTGTGTAATTAAATAAATTTGTAGAAATGAAAAATCAATATATAAAATCTAGTACAAATCGACATTCAACAAATGAATCAATAAATAAAAGTCAATTAGCATCAAAATTAAAAGTTATTGAATTTCTTAAAGAACATCTTTATCCAACTGGTAAAAAAACGAAAAAATTAATTTTGATTTTAAAATAAAAATTGAAAAATTTAGATTCATCAATATTATCATTTCAAATGTCAAATGAAGAATTATTTCCAAATAAACGTCTTTTAAATCAACGAATTCGAGAAATTCGTCAAAAATTAATGAGTTATTTAAAACAAGAAAAAATTTCAATAAATTCATCATCACCATCATCATCATAAATAATTATTTTTATTCGATGTTGTGCCATACATATGTTGTGGTAGTCTTAGTCTCTTGAAATTCTCCTATCGAAATGATGTATCCGTTCGCCTCTTTTCTCTTTCTAGTCCATGTTCTTTCGTTTTCTTTTAGACAACAAAAAAAAAAAACAAATTATGTGTGTTTCTCTTTAGGTACAATTTATTGCTTTTTTTTTTCGTGGAATTTATATCATTATTAAAGACTCGTTAGTCAACTTGTCTCTAAAATAAAATAAAATAAAACAAAACTTTATTCATATTATCATTTTCATCTAGTTGTCATTAGAGGATAATATTCTTCATTATCTTCTTTATGCCTATTCAGTTTAATTGTTAAAAATGAGAAATGGCTATTTCAAAATCATCTACTCATTTTTTTAATCATATTGGACATTCTCTCTATGCTTCGGGTTTGATATCCTACACGAATACGATTTTTTACAAGCGAACCCGGACTGAAGCTTCTCAACATCCGGCAAAATATTTTCACAGTCACAGTACACTTTTCAAATTTTTATTTTATATAAAAAATTATATTATTTAGTTTCTATAAACAGCAACAAAAAAATAAGACAAGACATCTCACATTTCACAAAAAAGCACCTGATTTTAGATTGACTTAGTGTCTTTCTGCTTCTAAAATTCGATCAATTTTGCTTGTTGTTGATGACGTTGGAATAGAACGCAGAGTTCATGTCAAACGTCATAATTATGGATACATATATCAATGCTCAGGCTCTGCAGCAGTCCTTCTTTTTTGCTTTTCATACGAATACGCTCTCAGAAACATCGGAAAACCTACAAGCAACGTTTGGATAGAGAGATCTCAGAGCTCTCGAAAATGTTTAATTCACTACAAGTCCAATGAAAAGTCCACCACGCTTATGTTAAGGTATGCATGTAGGACATCAATTTACATGGTACATATGTGCAGGATTTGAGATACTTAAAATGAGTTTTCGTTGGAATTCGGTTGCTGCTAAAAATTGCGGACACATACTCAGTATTCAATGACCAAGCATGACAGAAGCCGAGTTATATTGTAGTTGGTCTTACAAATACTTACGTGAATGACCTTTCGTCGCGTATCGATTTTTACTCAGCAGAACACAAGAAATATACAGTTAGTGTTGGATGCTTATTGATAAATAAAAGGAGGAAGACAACCAACATTTAGTAGGCCGTAGGACGGTGCTTGTGAACGAGAATGGAGTCATACATGCAAATTGGTGCAATTTAACTCAAAATAAACTGTCAATTTTCCATGCAATTTAAGTTGGTCAATCAATTCCAGACGTGCTCAAAACTTCTCCACTTGAACTATAGGTCTTATGCTTTTCGAGCTTTTGATCGGCTTGAGATCTCAGTCACGTTTTTTGACTTTTCTGGTCGATAAAGTCGTGAGTCATAATTGAGCTTTATCACGATCGAAGAACTTGAAAAGTATTTGAAATCGTGTAGGTGTACATATATCACGGACTTGGCCACATGACCAGTTAATTCGAATTAATGGAGAACGTCAAAATCACCTTGAAATCTCATTAAGAACAAAAAGCTTGAAAACAGCGTATCTGGATTGTGGAAATCATAAGACATCGGGATATGAGTGGGGCACACAAAAACCATCAGATGAGGAACAATATCTTTCTACAAGCTTGAAAATATTTACGGGTTGCACTCAGCTTTGAATGCGAAAATTTGGTTAAACAGCTAACTTAACTTCGAATTACCTTAAACTTTTCACTTCTAGGCGAGAATTATCTCTTTCGAAGACAGAGAGGACGTTCTACGCTGTAAAATTAACAAAACTTTTTGCAACTTGATAAACAGTCTAAAAGTTTTACGGTAAAGTTCTAGCAGGAGTGAAGTCGAGCAACAGAATCAGAAAAGTTTTCTAAGGTTTCTTTAACAAAGTCATTCGAATCAAATTATAAAAACTCGTAAGTGGATGCAGAAATGAAAATACTCGATTTTGTAAAAGCGGACATAAGTATGCTAGGATTGTAGTGCACTGTCGACTTAGTAATGTCATGTGTTTGTTCTCAAAAAAAAAATCTGCCAATATTTGTTCGATCTGGCATTAAATATTTGTATAATACGGAAATTGATACATAACCAGACCGTTTCAAATTCATTTTGTTAATTGAATAAAACACATGACATTTGGAGTCGACGATGCTGTTCTACAATCCTAGCATACTTATTTTCACTTTTCAAAATCAAAGATTTTGATCCCCGTACCTATCTGTCGGTTCTTCAATTCGGTTTTGATGACTTAGTTCGAGAATCTCTCGAAACTTTTGCTGCCTGCGCTGTGAAGTTTCTAACTGTACCGGTAGTTTATCCTAAAAATTCCAGTCCGCCGTCTATCGATCAGCGAGAAAAGTTGATAGGTTCTTAATGGAAACATATCAGTGACATCCTATCAAGGGATATTTTTGAAAATACACGAAATTTCGTGATTGATACAGGGAATAGCGATACATGGGAGTGAGGGGACGTGTGTTACCTGTAGAACTGCCAGAAGAATCATTGAGATCTGGGAAGAACAAAAGCACGAATATATCACATGACAAGAAGACAAAAGTTTGTGTTTGAAATTTATTCTCATCTGAGCTCAACCCTATCGTTTACTATTCGACTTCTAATATAATTTTACCGCTGTAGCGCAGTATTCTTGAAAACCCTTTTTTTTTGTTCCTTCTTTTCCTGCTTTTTTTCGAATTTCTTTCTTTTTTTTTCGAAAAATTCCTTCTCAAAATCCTTCTTTTCGGCGACCCCTGAATAAAAAAGATTCGTTTCAAGAATAATTATTGATCATGATTTACATTCAATATTAATCGAAGAAAAATTTCGTATTTAAGATAATGATGAAGAAACAAATGATGTTGAAGTCAAGAAAATAAGACGACTGGGAACAAAACCAACAACATTCTATAAAAGAACGAGAAAAAAAATTTAAAGAACATATTCAAATATATATGAGATATTTAAAACAATTAGAACGATTCAATAAATAAAATTATTAAGAAGCAGCTTAAGTAAATGAATATGAATCAATAATTATGATCAAGGTAACGTTATTTGTAGGACAGAACGTTTTTTAGAGTGTTTCAAACTAAAGTGCTGTTATATAATAGTTAAAGAAGATCCGTGCCACAAATGATTCTTTATCATTAATCTAATATCAAAGTTTAAAATTTATTCTTGTTATCATAAAAAAAAGAAACTCAAAGATAAAGATAATCTTCATTTGAAAAAATCGATGAAGATCCAAAATGAATTTTTTTCTTACGAAAAATTGATAAAATTTGTTTGATATTAATGGTATCAAGGACAAATTAAAGCTAAATCAAGCAACAAAAACAAATTGAACTTGATTCAAAAACAAATAGAAAAGATTTCAAAACTTCCTAATAATAAATGAAATGTAATTGATAACAACGTTCAACGATAGTTATTTGTTCACTTTCTATTTTATATTTTCTGGTAAAGAGATTGTTTTTGTTGATACATATAACTTTATTTATTGTTTCATTTTGCCAAATGATAAATCAAACGTTGATTTTTATTTTCCATTTAATAACAGAACAAGATCTTATTTATTTGTATTTTTTTTTAATTAAAACTATTTTAAAAATTTATCTTTTCTCAATTCATATTAAGAATAATTAGCAGCTGTAGGTTAAATATATTTTTCTCCTTATTCACTTTCTTATACATCCATTAAGTAATATTACAAGTTGATTTATCAAAAATAGAGATGTATCAGATACGTTTATCAGTCAATGTGATTCGTTAGTCTTAGTATGTCGATTCATAATTAAACATTTTCTTGTCTTCTATGATTTCATTCACTACACAATTTGAAAGTTCGTATCAAAAGTATAATACTTTTACAGTTCATATGTTTCTAAGAAGAGCTAATCATTATCATGTGAACTTGATAATGATGAAGCACGACTCTACGAGAATAAGATAATTTTTTTTTCTAAAAATGAATTATAAACGAGTTTTTAAAGGCATTTTGATATCATAGATTTGTATATAAGTATTTGTTCACAAAAGTAGAAGTCATCTTGCTTATCGAAAGAGAAACAAATTCGAATAAATGAAGAACGAAAGAGAGAGAATTTAATAGTCTATACAGATAAATGAAAACGAATGTACATAATTTATCCAGAATGAAAAAAAAGATAGAAAATGACGTCATGATTTGGTTATAGAGGATTAGTTATTTCTTATATTACTTAGCCAACAGATGTCTCCATCAAATTCAATCATTTTTTTTTAATTTTAGTTTATCCAGTTACTATTATTTCAAATTTTTCTTATCAATTCTGTACAAAATCTTCAACATACAAAAAAATTCTGATCTCAATAAATATGTTATTGAAACGATTGAATCCATCTTAATTTATTCAAGATGCTCAATTAGTTCAATCCATTGATCTTTGTATTTTTTTTTTTTTGTAGAAAAATATATAAATAATATATATTTTAAAAATATTACAATGGACATTGTTGCGATGAACAAATATCCATTAATGAATTGGATTTTGGATTTATATACACCATATTATCAACGTAAAGCTGATCGTCTAATTGTGATGTTTCATTTCTTGATGGTCAAAAATGGGTATAAAATTGTGGATAATGTTCGGCATGTTCCTTTATTTTTAAAGAAAGCTATTCATTTTTTTTTCTGGATAGGTGATACATGAAACATTATCCTTAACTCGGAATGATGGAAATTCAATAACAATGATGTACGTCAAAAAAGGTCAACATATTCGTGCTCTTCATGATATTGCAGCTGGTCGTCAAGAATAGAGCCCTGCAGGTTATAGATAACCTGCCCTGCCCTGCCCTGCCCGGCCAGGGCAGGGCAGGGTAGGTTACGCTAGGAACAGGGCAGGGCAGGGTAAGGTTACGAAAATTTTTACAGGGCAGGTTGCAGGTTATGTATGTCGTAACATGTCAACCTACGACAAATTTTACATATCAGATATTGTCAACATCTTTTCTAAAGTTATACATAAAGAAAAGAATAGAAGTAAGCTGATAACCAAATTAAAGTGTTTGCCAAGATATCTAACAGAAATAGAAGGATTCTCATGGACGTATAAATCCAGAAAGTTTCATGACTTTCGTGAATTTTATATCAAAAACACGAAAAAAAGAGGTGATTCGATTGGTGAACCGGACATGAAAATTGATGTATTTGAAGTCCGTTGATTAAAAGGAACATTTTAATAAAGCAAATGAAATGAATTTGATTTGTAAACAAAATTATGGAATTATATTAATGAAAATTTCAATTTTAATCAAGGAATCTGAAAGACATCAATTTTTATGCTCGTTCCATCATTCTAATAAATTTCTTGGTTTTTCTAGTCCCTGGATTGCAAAACTATTCTTTGTACATATAGCTACTCAAATGCACGTTGATTTCTCTAATTTTGAGTTGTATCTTA